TGTGTGTGTGTGTGTGTGTGTGCGCGCGCGCGCTACAGACCTTTAGCGTGGGAGTGGAGGAATTATTATTATTGTGGACGAGTGAGATGAATGACAGAGTGGTGGATCAGTGGGTGCACGGATGGTTCAATCGATGGATAGGTGCTTACATCACTGCCCGAGTGTATGAATAAACCGAAGAATGGTGTATCTCTTCTTCTTTTTTTAAAGCTGTTTCAATGACGCAGCCAGCCAGAGGGGCGCCATCAGTAGGCCCTTTGTATATCTTCTTTTTTTTTTTCATTATGTCTGTCTGTCGTCTTGCATTTCCCTACAATATATTGATCGCCATTTGCGTTGCATTGCTTCCTCTGGAGCGAAAAAGACAACCCCCATCACGGAATAAATGATTCAAGCCAGCGAACCAAATGAACAATGCCCGCATGCCCGCTGGGACCAGTTACAGTTCTACTTCGTGTTTATCCCGCATACATCAATGCATTAGAATAGAAGTTCAGAAGAGGTGGTAGATATTCTGTGAGTGTTTTGATGATTATGATTGTTCATTCAATTACATGACGTTAACATCGGCGTAGGCCTTTTGCCTTGCCGAAGAAAGAAACATAAAAAAACGAACCACATCTCAAAAGAATAATCACGTGATACCATGTCTTGTTGAAAAGGTGGGTGTTTGGTGGGTGTTCTAGTGTGGTTTGCTTCTTCTTTCCTATCAAACATATATCGTCCTTATCGCCCCTTCTTCTTTTTTATTTTTTGTTACTCCCTTGTAACATCTCTAGTCTTCTGGCGCTTATATGACCTTATGCAGTTGCGAGCGCCGTAAAACCTCTACTAAAACTAACTTGTTGAAAAGAAAACAAAAACAAACAGAACCAAAAAATAAAGCACAGATTTGTTAGCGGACGCAGCATTACCCAAAAATATATAAAAAGATTATGTGGGATATTATTGAACCCTTGTAGAGTACAGAAACCAATAATCTGAAACCTAAAGATTGCGTGGCGACATGTCATGCCTCTCAGAGGCATGTTACATTCTCGAAGTGTTTGAATTATGGTATCGACACAGACAGATTTCATTTTCTTCTTTTTTTTTCAAAGGTTGGGTAAATTGAAAACGCACGTCGTATCTTTGTGTCGGCAAAGACGTCCACAGGGACAAATAAGACAATTAAAGCTGGTTGATATCGTTGTTGCTTTTCCTGCTGGTGTGCAGAAATTTGGTCCCAGAAAATATGTATATGTGAGGCAGCGTGGTGGAATCAAGCTCTCGTCAATTTTTGGGCATTGGTGTCAATTTAAAGCTTGTTCACTTGTCTTTTTTAAATGAAAAAAATATCCATTTATCTTGAATACAAGTCGAGATATTTGCGAATGAAGGAGGTGGGGGTCACCTGTTTTCAGAGGTAAAATTAGTGAGAAAATTGCCACCAAAGATTAGTTATTTCCTAAGCTTTAGAGTCAGTCCGTGGTAACTGAAAATTTAAATTTTTTGTGCCTTAAATCAACGTTTTTAAGAAAAATCCACACAGAAATGAGTTATTTTATGGGCTTGAAAGGTGTTGAGCCAAAAAACTAAAATTTGATAAAAATTCACAAACCAGCGGGAAAATGCAGGTTTCTTCATTTTGATTATTTTGACGAGATCCTAATTCAACCACGCTGCCTTACATATTATGCTCTGCAAGAGAAGACCATAACGATTTTGAACTACGACAAAAATTGAACTGGGTTCGTCAGGCCGACAGATCTACATCTTATGTTGAAGTTTGTTTGCTTAGGGGTTGTTTTTTTGTTTGTTTTTTGGGGGTTTGTATAAGGGGGGGAGAGGGGGAGGGTAGGCCAGCTGGTATTGGCTTGTTGTTGCTGTTTGGGTTTTTTTCTTTCGCAGAAGACGAGAAGTATATAACCATAAAAACAAGACGCCATTTTGTCGAGTGCTGTGTATCCCTCTCACCCTCTCTCTTTCTGTCTTTCTCTCTCTCTCTCTCTTTCTTTCTCTCTCTCTCTCTCTCTCTTTCTTTCTTTCTCTCTCTCTCTCTCTCTCTCTCTCTCACTCACTCTCACTCTCTCTCTCTCACGCACTCACTCACTTGGCTTGCTCGTTCACTTTTTCAATCTCTTTCCCTCTTTCCCCCTGTCTCTTTCACTCTCTCACATTCTCATGACGTCTTTAAGTCTTTCAAGCTGATTGAGAGTATCCCACATCACAGGAATTGGCCCTGATAGAGTCAAAGCACCTAGCCTCCCAAGTGGTTTAACTTGTGTCAATCGGGTACGCAAGACATTTACTATCAATCTGCTCTTCTTAACTTTAAAGCCACACCAGTTAACATGCTCTGGCTCCTTCTCCGATAAAATTCAGGCGTCAACGTTAATTACCAGTAGAGATACGAAGCAGAATGTACGTAAGATTAGGTGCTTTCCCTCTTCCACACACCAGTCTGCGCAGTGTTCACTTTGTCCCTTTCGATCCAAAGCACTCGGAAGTGTCTATGTCTGTGGTTCATTTTTATCGATCACGTAATTACAAGTTGGAGCACTGGCGTCTGTGCAGCAAAGGTTCATCTCTCGATTTCGCGCACAGAGTGCATGAGTTCACTTTCCGCGAGAGGGGGATATTTCAGTTTCAAGGACTATACTGTCTGCGTGGTTCAGCTCAGCTCAGCTGGCCTTTTTCCCCGACACCCAGGTAGGGAGGGAGGGAAGGGGGAGGGGGAGGTCTTGAGCAGCCCGCCTTTTAACTGTTCTGTAGTGTGTCACTTACAACATTTACAACAGAGATGTCCTTACACATGGTCTGTTCTATAGTGTGATATTTACAACTGCAACACTGATGTCCTTAATTACACATGATCCGTTCTATAGTGCGTCATTTACAACTGCAACAGAGATGTCCTTACGCATGGTCTCTTCTATAGTGTGTCATTTAAGATGTCTTTACGCATGGTCCCTTCTATAGTGTGTCATTTACAACAGAGATGTCCTTACACATGGTCTGTTCTATAGTGCGTCATTTACAACATATACAACAGAGATGTCCTTACACATGGTCTCTTCTACTCTTGCTTTAACTCATCTACGTGTGAGATGGAAGCTGAAACCCAAGATTAATTTACGTCCACTTTGTTACGTGTCTCGTTAAAACTTCAGTCTTCTACCATTATTTCTCTCTATAGGGTTATCTAAGTACTAATAAATACGTGTTTGTTTTCTTCATTAACAAAAGAGGTTAGCGTATGTACTTAAGTTTTGTCTAAAAAATGAGACCTTCCCCAAAAGCACACAATCCTTATTATGAAGACGTATTGGAACCTATCTCGTACATCATCCAAAGTAGGATGTACCGACCCCCACCCCCAACCACCAAACGCCAACTGCAACATTTTCCTAACCCTCCCTCCCCTTCCCTTTACCCCAATGGTCACACCTACTACCCATTTCCATTTTCTCCTTTGTGGTTATGTTCCTCCGCTCAATTATTGTACCAATGCCTCGTATTGGACTAACAGAAACGCTACTACACATTTGTTTCATGAGCTCAAAGTGAAACGGCTGGAGATGATGATGATCAGTAATTGAACCAGCGATGCCCATCTGTATAATAAATCTAAAGGGACAGCAGAAGACCATATTATACCATATGCACACCCCCCCCCCCCAACCACCACCACCAAAAAAAAAAAAATGACCGAACACAATCGATGATTCTGCCGTCACTGTTTCTTATACTCCATTAAAAAAAAAGAAAATAGAAGAAAAACTGCCGTCCATCACTGTTTCTTATACCGTGCTGCCATCTCTTTGCCAGTGCTTAGGACATATATATATATTTCTCATGTTTAATTCAATTAGAGAGGCAGCACTTGGTAGCATCGCGCACAGTTCTGGCAACACAACACGGCCATGATAGGGCCGAGTGGGACGCAAATCAAATAACCACTTTGCCACCAGACACACTCTGGGGAAATTTCGATTTGCAAGTCATATCTCATATGGTGTATGATGACATATATATTACAGTGTTATATATATATATACATATATATATATATGTATATATATATATAAATATATATATGTATATATATATATATATATATATGTATATATATATATATATATATATATATATATTATGTCTTTATTTATTTATATATATATGCATATATATAGATGTATATGTATATGTATATATGTGAACGTAAATGTTTATGTATATGTGTAATGATATCATAATGTATATGTATATCTATCTGTATTTATTATATATGCATAAATATATGTATATATATTATTTCATATATATATATATATATATATATATATATATATATATATATATATATGTGTGTGTGTGTGTGTGTGTGTGTGTGTGTGTGTGTGTGTGTATTATGTTGTATATATATATATATATATATATATATATATATATATATATACGCGTGTGTGTGCGTGTGTGTGTGTGTGTGTGTGTGTGTGTGTGTGTGTGTGTGTGTACATATACATTATACATGCATAGCTTATGTATAGGCAGTAGGCCTTTAAGAGTGACCAAACTCAAGTGGTCAGTTTAGATTTGAAAATACACTCATAGGTAAAAATTGTCAAAGGAAAATACGATAACGAAGAATATTATTCGTACGAAATATAAAGCACGTTAACTGGCGGAACGTTGATTGCAACTTTCTAAGTTCAGCCCATTTTGCAATAATATGGTCTTCAACCCTCTACGAATAAGCTTCAAAAAGACTAATAAACATTTTCATGTAACTGTTGTTGATTAATGGAGTTGTAGGACATTAATTATGGCCGTTTCCTTTTTGTAGCTAGGGAATGCCGTCTTCTTCCATAATTTAAAGCCTTCAATAGGCTTTCCAGATCTAAATTCATATTGGAAAAAGCATATTTAGAAATCACAGACGTGGTCACTGGTATCCTCCTTCGCTAACAAATAGTACAAACAAACCCTGCATCGCAGCCATGTAAATCCGGGAAAATGCAATTCGACATTTTTCTGACGAGATATATGAGCTCATGAACTAAAGCAAGTGTAAAATGCTGACGGAGCAATGACCTTACCAGATTAATAGTCTTGAGACACGACCTATCTTTTGGAAACCCACCAATAAATACACACACGTAAGCCCATCTATACAAGCACGTCGACCGGCATTGTTAGCCTGGCTTCGACAACAGGTCCAGGTATTGTGTCCCGACGTGGTGGAATTGGGCACTCGTCAATTTTTGGGCATGTGGAGTTATTGGTATTAACTTAAAGGTAAAGCCTGTTCATGTACATTGCTTTCTATTTTTAAAAATCGCATCCATCTGGATAAGAACTTGAGATATTGGCAATTGAAGGAGGTGGGGGGTAGCCTGGTTTCAGAGGTAAAATTAGCGAGAAAATGGCCACCAAAGTTGTTGTTTTTTATAGTAGAGGGTTTTACGGCGCTCGCAACTGCATAAGGTCATATGAGGGCCACCACCAAAGTTTGGTAAATTCAATAGCTTGAGAGTCTTTGAAAATTGAAAATGTCCATATTTTGTGCCAACGTTTTTCAGTAAAAAGTACTCAGAAATGTGTTTTTATATGGACATAAAAGACGTAGAGCCAAAAAACACAAATTTGAAAATAAATTGCCAAACTTGAGGAAAAATGCACGTTTCTTTGATTTCGTTAATTTGACGAGCGCCTGATTTCATCAGGATGCCTTACAATAACTTACAATAATTTTGATACCATTTATCTCCGAGTGAGACAACTCACTATTAACTGTGTCACTATCAGCTGTAGCTGACCGTCCTCTAAAGTGGCGTCGGTAGTCCAGTGGTTAGGCTACAGGACTCGTAATCGTGAGGTTGCGGTTTCGGGGGTTCGAGCCGCGGGCCTGACGTTGTGTACTTGGGAAAGACACTTTTCACGAATTTTCCTCACATCACCCGCGTACCCAGCTAATGACAGTGAAAGATCTTGTCAGTTTGTTAGTGTTTTGGCGCTTAACCAGCTGCTTGCACTGCATGCTTCCCGGGAAGCTGAGAATGTTTCTGAGTGTTCTATGGTCTGCTGTGGTAATAATATAGTGTAAAGCGCTTAGAGCTTGCTTTCGAGTGGGGACATGCGCTATACAAATGCTATTTATTATTATTATAAAGCATCCTCGACATCTCGCTACTTTAGAATTACAAAGTTCTATTCGCTCAGTATACCTAGTTTTGACAAATTTAACGTTTAAAAAAATTTGAGTTTCACAACATTTCCAGCTTTTTCGAATGCAATTCTTTGAATAATTTTATAACGACTCCGAATAATCTTACGATTTTGAAAGAGAAGATAGAACAGTTGGTTTCTGACCTCCTGGTCTTAGTAACCCAAAACGACTAAAATATCAGATAGAACATTGTAATTTAAGGATAACGATCTGATACACGAATCTATCGACTCGATGTTTAAGGATATGTCTGATCACT